ATGGGGAGTGAAGTTGAGCCCGGGGAGAAGGAAGGGGTGGGGAGGAAGTGTCTTAAGACTTAGTTTTTATTTTTCTCATTATCCTACTCTGATTTGATTGGTAATAAATTAAGTTAAATTGATGATCTGGATGATCGATTATCAAAGAAAAATTGCAGAGGGTCTATAAAGGTCATTAGTCAATACACAAAAGTTAAGCTGGTCTTACTATCATGTAATTATTTATGTGGTACCTGGCACAAATTTACCAGTGCTGGAATCAGTAAATTTAAAGTACCTGATGTTCAGAAACACACACAGAAGCGTGGGTTCTTTGATGAAGTCAGTCACCGTTGAAAGGTAATAAACACCAGGATGCAGAAGACAATTTCTGCACAGACCTTTTCATTCAGGTGCCCTGGACAGCCGTCAGTACAGACCTCTGGCTCTGAGAACTGTTCACCTTCAGTTACTCAACAGTTTTAGGACAAACTTCAAAGAATAAGGTAGCCACCCAGAAGCCAAACCTCACCAATAAAGATTCTTCAGATTCTGGGAATGCTGGGTCCGGCCAACTAACAAAGGAGTAGAGCTACGTGCGTATTGTTTTGGGAGGAACTCAGTCCTCTCCGTTGTTAAACGCATCGGCACACTGACAGGCTGCATTAGTCCGGCCCCAAACACTGAGCTGGGAATAGAAGTGGTAATTGTATGCGCAGACACTGACCATCTCTGACCCAGACAAAGATCTCGTCAGTATTTTACTCTGTGCTCTAGCCAGGATTTAAACAGCAGTGTCCTGGGAGAAAGACTGCCGCATCACACGCATTCCATAGCAAGTATTTTTATATTGCAGGAAGTGTGGGGGGCAAGCAATAAGGACAGACAACTTACAGTTTTAACATCATTAGTACCAATGATTCCTCCAATCTCTCCCAGGTCCTTAAGCAGCAAGTTCAAGATTTCTGTAGCTCTCTTCTTCTGATGGTTACTGAGCTCCTGCAACTGGCCCAGCTCCCTCTGGGTCACTGTCAGGACACTCTGAAAAGGTTTAAAAGCAAAAGTTACCCTCCGCTCTGCACATTGGGCATCAGTTCTTCTGTCATATCTAGGTTACACAGCACTGTCTCGTATTTCCCTGAACATACCTACTGGCTCAATGTACTGACACGTACAATTCCACCTTGCCATAATCCACTTTCACAACTCGCTTGCTAACAAGGCTACTTTAGATCTATTAAATGCTGTAAATCCAGTAAGAATCTTATTTGCATAATACATGTCAAAGAAGGTTAATCACAAAGAAGCAGGTATAGAAGCATAGAAAATTCAATTTTTTCAAATGTATTTCATAGTAATCTGTTTTACTGAAGTGGATAACGAAGCTTTCCATAAAAACAGACCTGTTAACTGCAGCTTCCTCACTTTGTGTAATGAATTAAGGAACAAGGATGTATTAAGCTTATAAGCCAATCTTGATTTTTGTCAGATCAGATTTTTCCTTAAGATCAGTACACACCAACTGAAAAAGCTGATTTTTTTTTTTATTCCTTCCTTGAGATCCCGACTCTATACAAAATCCTTCCTCCACAGCACAGAGTCCAGAGCAACAAAAATGCAGCAATTCGCATAATGCAGATTTTCACACCTTTCTTGTGATAATACAGTTTTTACATAACCAAAACACAGAATGTCCAGGTCTCACGTTCAGTTCAGTTGCCGCTATGGCGGGCAAAATACAGAGGTTGCAAGAGAGCCACAATCTGCCATCAGCTTCCATAGAGCAGTCTGTGAATTACCTTAATTTATCGTTTAATTAAGATAAAGATAATTAAGATAATTAAGAGCAAGGGTAGCATCGGCAAATATGGATCTTTCAGCAGCTTTCCTGCTACTCCAATTTTTAAACTACATACCAACATACTTGACAGCAGTATCTCAAAGATTGCTGAAATGGCATAGGCTAGCAGTTATCTGGGAACGCTACGGAAATCTGTAGGGGAGGTGCAGAGTGAGGGGGCGAGGAGGGAACCAGCGCTATAAACCCCTTGCTCTTACACTCTTCTGTGCCAGCTCATCAGCCAGCTGCTCGTTGGCCCTTGTTTTGTCCTCCACTTCTTGGGATTTCTGGTCATAATTGACAGCTAATTCTTCCAGGGCTTGAAGGACCTCTTTCACTTCATCTTTTGCTGCTTCGTTCTCAATCTGAAGACGGGTTAGCTCCTCTTGAATCTTCTCATAATCTCTCCTAGTGGAGGCCAAAAGCTGGAAACCAGAGATGACAGACGCATTAAGTCACTCAAGAACTCATTCAAAAGACAACATTGAAAAGGGCAAAAACAGACAAAGAGAGAAAGAAAGCATGAGCATGCAAGCGTGTGTGCAAGAGAGAAAGCAGGAGAGAAGAAATCCTGTTACTCTACCAGAAACAGCATCAGTTTCAGCATAAAAGTATTTGAAGGAAGCAAAAAAGGCTCTGAACTTCAGTGAAGAGAAAAATCTTAATCAAATCCTATTATGGCACAAGACTAAGGCAGAGAAACTTATTTTAAACAGTATTGTAGCTCCAAATAGATTTTCTGCCCTCAATCCAATGCTGCAGCTAGGACCAAAAAATACCACAAAGTAAAATGTTTAAACACAGACTCAAAGCTTTGAACTGAACCAAGTAAAAGGCCTCTCTGAGGCAGTCTCAAATATCTTACGGCATTAGAGAAATATTTTGATAAGCAAACCTATGATGATTATTCTTAGTTGTCATCTGAAGCATGATGCTGAAGACAGATTAGCTGCTTCTATCTGCTGAGGCAAAATATTAACTAAAAAAGAAAATACAGACTTCATACATACTAGTGAGTTTTTCCAATTTGCAAAACTTATTAAATTTACTCTTGGCTTGCTACTAAGAGAGATGTTGAAGTTTCAGTGACAGTGCTGATTGTAAGAGGTCAGTTGTATGGTCCTCTCCCTTGCCCTTGCCCCGTTCCATCTTCATTCAGATGGACTAAGACTTTTTGAGCACAAAACCAGACTCAACAGCAGCCATATGCTGCTAACACCTAACATTTATTGCTAATATTGTATTTTTGAGAATAACAATAAAACCAGGACTTAACATTGCATAAAAACATAAAACATAGAACATATAAAACTAGTGCATGAGATACAAGAAGGTGATCATGCTCACCCTAACAGCAAATTTTGGACACTCATTCACGGAACTCACTAATGGATTAGTATAATATTACTGTACTACAGCTTTCTTGGACAGTGGAACATAATCCGCACCACTGAAGTGTGCTGGGTGGATTTCTCCTGCCCTGTCCCACCACTGCCCACTGGCTCCCAGGCCATGAAGTTGAGTGTGAGACCCCAAGCAAAACAGAAACATCTCTCTAAAACGGACCACCTAAAAGGAGAACATCAGAGAAGACATCGTGGGTTTTGGCTCAGAGTGCTAATGGAAAATAGGAAACCAAGCAGGCAGCTTCAGACATTGGCACGTGCCCAAAGTGGCGAAGAGAGGATTCAGATGTAAGGGAAATTTATCTCACTGGTAATGCTGCAGCCTCAGAAGTGCACTCACGTTACGGAAAAACCCACTGAATTGCCAAAGCCAGATGGCATGTAAATATTTAAACAACAAAATAGCTTAAAATAATCTTTCTACTAAACACAGATGGAACTATTATTTACATTTACTTAAGAAATTTTCTGTGTGAATATTACTGTGACTTCAAGTAAAGGGAAGTGTTATATATCACCTAGAGCATAAACACAGCTCCCCAGAAGATTCTTGTTGATATAATGTGGAAAAATATACCAAGATTTAAAAAGGCTATTAAATAACACATTACACCAATCAGTTGTAAACAAAGGGAAGGAGACTATGGCTGCAGCACTTCGCCAAGCTGTTCACAGCACACGAGCTGCAAGGGGGGAAGATTCAGAATCCCCCCGAAAACACACACCCTAAGAAACAGCCAGTGGTGAAAAGGTACCAAAAGATACCCAGTACCAGCACAATGCCATCTGTGGCAGGCCTTAGCTTTATAATTAACCCACTAGCTTAATCAAGCAGAAGAAAGTAGTCTGGTTAATTAGGGGGAAGCAGAGTGAGGCAGCTGCTCCGCAGCACATATATCATGGAGCTAATCACAGCTCTAAGAGAACAGGTACATTGCTCCCACAGCACAGGTGAAGCTGACGTGTGGAAGACAAAACCTGGACAAAATTAATTCAGTTCCCTTAAAGAAGAAAACAAAAGTATCACATTAGCTTTCAAAACTGAGAGATGGACAAGCTTATCAGATGAACCAGCCAAGTCTTCTGAACAAGCGGTGCAACACCAGCTGCAGAGATTTCAGTAAGTCAGCAAAGCTAGACTAGAATGTGTGCAAAAAAGGGGGAAGAGTGGTCTGTAAGGCAAGGATTAGAGGCCACTGAAAACTTGATTCATCTTCCAGACGTAATATCGCTTATGGAACACAAAGAGGGTGAGGAATAAGCCAGTCTACAGCATGCTCCTAAATATCTAATGCGAAGAAAAGAATGCACATCATCCAAAAAAAATAAGACACAAGAAAAACCATGAGGGAAAAATAAGCTTTAGTTGAGAACGCTGACGTAAAAAAGATGGGAGGAGTGAGATGGCGTAAATAGCACACATAAGGAAATAAGTTGCTGAGAACGCATAAAATTCTGTTACATTTGTATAGCCACGGACACGCGTTGCACGCAATACAGGGTAATCAAAAGAAAGTTGTGGCAAGTAAATGAAGAGCTTAATCATGGAGTAAAATAAAACTGGTAATTCCTGTAGTGAGGATAAGTCCCCAAAGGTGGCAGGTAAGACATGAATAGCGAGTAACAGACATTTTCATTCATTGTTCTCTCCTTGTTAGGAGCTAAACCTTGGAAACCCTTTCTGAAGGCTTGGCTAAGGATTGAGACATGGACAGAATATTATTTTTCAATTCTGAGAGAGGTTTCACACCCAAAAAAACCATCCAGCATAATGCTGTTCTCCAGCTGAAGTGGCTCGGGCACCTGGGAGAGGCAATGCTCCTAGAGAATCACGGCAGTGTTTCGTGCAAAGACAGACCAATGTTTCGCAACACTAATGACAGGTGAATTCCCACGCCAGGATTATATTATGTATTAGTCTGAACAGTCCTCCTCCCATTTCCCACAGTTTGAAAACCAGCAGAAAACCATCTTCCAAGAAATACCCAATTACCAAGTTCCTCAAAGGTTGCTGTGATGTTATAGACAGATTCTGCATCTCAGAAAACTCTCAAACAAACAACAGATAAGGAAATTACTTGACTGTGAGTTTAGTGTTCATATTCCCCATCTTAAAAACAGCAAACATTTGTTTTACGGACAGAAACAATGTCATAAAATGTTTAAGGTGAGTAATCCAAGATTTTAAAGCAAATCTGTGGCAGCACCAATACTTGATTTTTCAGTCTTAACAGATTTCTCTCAGTACTGCCTTTAATTGCCAATGCCAGAATAACGAACATCAGCAATTTATTACCAGGAGTATTTTTTATACTGTCAAACTGGGAAATCTGTTAACAACCTATGGTCCATAGGGTCTGGACACCTGGAAGGATACAGACGTATTGAAAAACACATTTGAAGTGAAAAATACTGGCCATGCTCCTACCTTGGTATCTCCAGCACCACTTCCCAGCAGGACAGCATGCTGTTACAAGGAGTTACCAAGGCTTCACGCTCTTCTGACGATATTACAAAATTTGAAGCTTAAACTTAGCTGTGACACAGGTTTCTCTTACCTACTGAATTTTAGCCAGTTAATAGAAACACATCTAGCCAACAACTGTGACAGAATTACTAAACAAGGGTCTCATCAGCAAAATGTAAGGGGTTTTTTTTATTTGTTTGGGTTTTTACCTCCTCTTGATCCAACATTTGTTGCTTTAGTTTTTCAGCCAGCTGGCTCTGCTGGTTGATTTCGTCATCCTGCAATGAAACAGAGTTGGAGATTTTTAGTTTCTTTTCACGGTTCTCGTTGGTCACTTTTATTTCCCCTTTCTAGAAAAGGAGGAAGAATAATGCCCTAGCAAACCTTGTGCACGTTTGAGTGCTATGAGAGGGGAGAAAAATATACATCCACAGAGCTACATAGAGTAAAAGCAACGCATACATGCAGTTGTCTCTAGTATATGCCTAAGCAGAGGTGTCCCTGACGGTAAACAAGACACTGATGTGGTCAGAGTTGCACCTTATAACTTGCAGGGGACTTTGCCGACACATGTGATGTTTTATAGCTGTACAAATACATGCACACCCTCTCATTCTGTCCCCAAATTTCAGCTGCAAGAGAGATCATTAGAGACAGATTTGTTAACCAACTACAATTTACAGCTAGCTCTGACTGCATTAATGAAAGAGGAAGATCAAACTACAACACAGGACTTGGACCCCTCAACTGCAGAATTTGCATTTTCCTACTCCATCACAGACCCTGAAGAAAACACTGCCAGGTAATGCACAGCCAGGCATACAATTTTACTGGCATTTCAACTTCCTTGTTAAGACAGCATCCTCACGGGTAGGTACTGATCTTAAATACGGAAGAGAATTGATGATGGACCTCACTGTACAAGTCCTTCCTCCAAAACACCACAGGAGGCACACCAAGCACAAGACCTGACCAAGTCCATCTCTTCTTGTGATGGATATCCTTCTCTAAAGGAATGCACCAAAGATAAATGGTTGCTTTTTACCCATCAAAACCAACTGACATTCTGTGTTTCACTGATAAGCATGATAATAGCTTGGTTTCTGAGAGCAAATACAGCTATCAAGTAGAATACGTTGAATCATTTGCTAATAATAAAAGTCCCAGATATAACATAAGAATGGTCTACACTGTAGTAAGTTATAAACAGTGATACTTTGGGTTTGTTTTGGGGATCAAATACCTTCTCATTTCCTATAGTACTGCAGTAACGCACCAAATTATGCTTCCCATGTTTTCTAGGGTAAAACTGAAACCTGCCGCCAGTTCCCTCAAGAAGAATACAATGGCCTTTGCTACTTTTGATGAGGAAAAGTGAAAGAATGACTGATTTTTTTTCTTTTTCTAATCAATACGTAGAAGCTAGAGACTGCTACCGGGAATGTATTCTCCATCACAGAAAAGCCAAAATTTCTTAAAGACCTTAACTGTTATTTTGAATGCCATCAAGATACTGCTAATTACAATTGAAAGTTAAAATCAAGTTTTGATTTGTGATTAAATCTACCCTGAAAATTCTGCTAGATAGCCTTTTAAGCTGTTCTCATCCATAATGGTCAGTAGTTTTAGTATGCCTTTTTTTCCCCACTTCTTATCTTCACACAAGCCAAAGCTATTAATGGCAAGTGCTCAGTAAATGCATTGCTGATAGCTTTAAGTGCCAATGATCTATTTCAAGCTGTGCAAATAAATAAATTTTAAAAAGCCACCTGCACTCCAGGCAGTGTTCACAGCTAGAACAACATGAACAGGAGAGACACAAGGCATGGTTACATATTTTCCTTACAATTCTAATATACAATAAATATATAAAAAATATTAAGATACAGTCTCCCTTTTCTTCCTTTCTCCTGTGACTCTGAGATGACATCACAGTTTGCTGAGGGATTTTACAATGTCCCTGAAGAAAAGGAGGGCTGAAAAGTCTGTATCAAGCCCTTGAAATGAAAGGCAAACTTGGCTCCGATTTCATGGAGAATGCCCACAAGCGCTATCCGCAGAGGGAACAGAAGCAGATAGCTGACGTGATAGAACAAGATCTGTTTTTATGCAATTATAATGTTTTGAACTTTGGGACATTTTCCAGTTCATGATGCTCAAGAAACACAGAGACACCCCCACCCATTTTGGCTTAGTTTTCCATTTACACCCAGAGAATGGAGTCAAACCAAATGTTCACACCTTATCATCTAGCTGTCTGTAGAGACTGGCAATCTCCTCATCATATTTCTGTTTCTCCTCTGTCGAGATGCTGGCAACAACCGGTGTGATGTTGTCAATAATCGGGGTGTTATCACAAGGCTCCAGGTTCTTCTGGTCCTTCGCGCTGATCTGTTCATCTTCAGGCACAGCTTCTCCTGTAGGCACACAATCCGTGGTCATTACAATCCAAGAGACAGGGTAGCCCAAAACCATGGACATCCCAAGACGGTCCTTCACAGGTGCTGAGAGGGACTCAGCAAAGCAAAGAAGGGCCGTAACCAGCTACGGGCCTGCCGTCTGATGCAAGGCAGGCAACAAACGACAGGCCAAGCTAGGTGTGGAAGAATGGCCATTCGTTCTCCACGGTTAGAAAAACAAACACACAAAAAGCAGCACCCGCTTGAATGGCTGCCATTAAAAGCACTGACCTCCTGGCTCACCTTTCACTCTATAGATGGGATTAACTCCATGGATTAACAGGAGTGTAAATAAGGAGGAAAAAAAAAAGATCCAACTTTCAGCTTAAAACCTACTGGCAATTAAATGTCTCTTTCTCCAGATTTCCAACTGCCTTACCAACTCTCCCTCCCCCATAATGAACTGCTAGAGCATCGGGACAACAAGACAGCTGCATTTAAAATTATATTCACCTTCTGCCTTGTCACGTCTAAAATTAAAGCTCATACACCAATTTTCAGATGTTGCCTATGCATACCAAACAGGATGTTCTCCCTACACATTTTCTTTCAAAATCATTTTCTCCGAGGAATATTTTCTTCGGTAACACCGGTGCATTACAATTAGGAGCCTGCTGCAGCTTAGTGGAGAGGGACAGGCAAGGCGTTCACGACAGAAATTGAATCTACTCTCATTAGAGCCTGGTGAAAGACTCCGCGAGCCGCTGAACACTGTATGCGTTGCGTGAGGTGCAGGAAGGTCGCATTCAACCCTTCTGCACAAACAGCTTTTTCCTTTTCTATGAAAAACTACAACATTTTAGTCCCGTAAAGCTTTACTAACCATTCCTCTTGCCAAAACAGCGTAGGCACTATTTATCTTCCTGGCAGGAAAACAAGTAAATAGGACAAATATATCTAAAAAATTAAAAGGCATGCTAATTCAGGCCCCAGAGCAAAACAAAACAGGGCATGAAAGACCACCACCAACTAACAGAGAAGACAATTTTTTCAAGCTTCAAGCATGAAAAAGTGTAACCTGAAATCAAGCACCATAACCTCTATAAAAGTACTACACTCAAAATACTTTTTGCCCTGCTTCTAATAGCTTGATAACATTTTACATTGTTAATGAGAAAAGTGTAAATTGATTTTTCATTTTTGCATTGCACTGGGGCAGACTAGGAAAAGTGGGCTCGGTCAGACTGTGGGACCTTGCACACACAGCAGCGCTTCTCTGGCTGCGCAGAATCCATCAGGAGCCTCCCAAAATGAATTTTGAGAATTTCATTTCAATTGTGGTATTTTGCTTCACTCGGAAGCTTTGTATGGCAGACTACCACGGGTGAAAGGAGGAGGGGAGACTAAATTTGATAGAGGTGCTTGGATGAGAACAACCTCTCACCTGTAAAACACACACCAAATAGGACACTTGGGCACAAGGCTGCTGAAACTCTGCTTCAGTGAGAACTGGGCACACCCATTTTCTGCTGCAATTTTATTTTGGATATGATTTTCTAAATTTATAGAACAAGCTATTTAGAGCAAGTATTTATGCATCTCTCTTGCATTTTATATTCAAGATGCAATTTCTGTGACACTTCCATTTGTAAAGGGCCCCCTTCAACAGAAGATCCTTCCAAACGATGCTATTTCAGAAGGTCAGACAAGAAATCAATAGTATTTTGAATGCATTGAATGTATTGCTCGGTAACGCCAATGAGAAAAGCAGGACAGATGGAGGGGAAGAGGAGGTGTGTGTATTTAGACAAAACAATAGAGACAGCATGTTGTAAGGCTTGTTTACGTAGCATATAGAAAGGAACCATACAGGGTTTTCTGGAAGAAAAAAAAAGTTTCTGGAATGGGAAGGAAATGAAAGTCGTCACATTTAGCAAACACAGAACGAAGCACGCAGAACACGAGTGGGTTAGGAATCCCCAGCGCTCCTCACCACCAAGAGCAAACCGACCGTCTCCATAGCAATTGCACTGTGCTGATAAGGGAAATATTCCCTCTGCTAAAGTCTCCAGAGAAAGACACGGAGCACAATCATTAGGTAACGATCTCATTTGAAAGGCAAGTAAACAGCATAGGGAGCCAAAATTTACAGAATTAAGGAAAAATTTTTTGCACCCGTAAAGGTTAGGTATTATCTTTTAAGCAGTGATTTCACCCAGGATGTTCAAAACCAGACTTGACTGTGCAAAACAAATTGTGACTAATAATGAAATCACAGATTTGTTCTCACTTTAGATACTTCACGTTTGCGAGGGTTACATACTATTGAACTGTGCGACACATCAACACATAGGACCTGGATGACAAGCAATTTAGAAAATAAAAATTACTCTAAAGAAGCAGTAATTTACTGTTGGGGGTTTATTGGGATTTCAGGGTGCAAGGGGGATGCAGGGTTGGTTTCTTTTAATTGGGGTGTTGTTTATTGGTTTGAAGTTTGGGGTTTGATTTTTTTTTAATATGTGGAATAAAAAATTACAAGTAAGGATGCTTTGCTAGAATTATCTGCCAACGTTCCACGTTAAATAAAAATTCTTTAATTTGTATGTATACATAAAAATATTCTTCCTCCTCTACCATCCTACACTTGATCTTACAACCTACCCATAGCAATTCTCTATGTTTCTAGAGAGAAAATTGGCTGTTCTCAACCTAAATTTCACTTAGGAGACAAGCGGTGATTCTTCTTATCAGATGACACACCTGATCATTGTACTAAAGGACTACTTATTCTAATGTTAAACTCAATTATAAAAAAACCCACAACCAAAATCTAGTTACCTTAAAGCATAATGGAACCGATTCTCATGCCTGAGGAGCAGATTTGTTTAAAAAAACCCAAAACCCCAAACATAATGACAATTTACCTTTTCTTTATTAATATTACTAACATTATTAAAAATTATTGATGCCTTCCTGTATTCTCTACATCTGATATCATGCTAGTTTTGGTATTTAAAACGGTACCTTCTGTAAATGGATGCTGCTTGTTTCCCTGGTTTTTGCTTCTTCACCTTTCAGTTATTATTATGAAGCGCGAGCTACAACTCTGTGAGCTTAAAATTAGTATGACTCTTGCAATTTAAGGCAAGATTTAAACATACATAACTTAAAAAATACAAGGACATGGACCCATTCCCATTTTCTGGTACATACCATTTCTCCACCTGTTCAGTTCCAGCTCTAGATGCTGGATAACATTCTTTAGACTCTTGTTTTTGTCTTTCTCCTTCTCGTACTTTTTCTTCCACTCCTCTGCCGTCAGCTCCAGATTCACAGAGACCGTGTTCTTAATCGTCTTAGCTCTGCACAACAAAAGTGGGTGTCAGTTGCTCCACAACTTTTATCTCAACACAACAGTAAGGATTCAGAAATTTTTCTGTAAGACAAAGCGAAACTACTAAACTTTTCCACTTTATTTTCTGAAGTGCAACGCCACAATTCCATTTTCTCTCAAATCCTCAGCATCATTTACTACCTGGAAGTCTCAACAGAAATTCTTCCGGATCAAAATCCAGCAGCCAGGGACCTGGAGCAGACATGGATCTGCCTCTTCAGCCAGAAAGAGAAGCTCTGGAAACTGTTCTTGGATTAAGGACAAAACCAAGTCTTGTCATTATTGCTTTGCTAGGTAAGCTGTCACCTCACAGCTTCTCCTGGCCTGAGCCCCACCGCAGAGTATCCCACGCCAGCGTCCGACCCCAGCCTCGCCTCATCTCTTAACAACCATCTCTTCAACTCCACCGACAAAACTCAGCCGTATTTCAAGCATCACAGCATAGAGGATGTCAACACAGTGAAGAGATATAGAAACTTGTCCTTCTTGAAAGCCAAACAGTGCTTTCAAATACATTTTTGGGGGTGGAAGGAAGGGAAGGAGGAGAACCGCTGGTCACCACCAGGTAAAGGGGATTACTGCTGCGCTGAGGAAGGCTCTCGGTGGGAAGGGAGCCTGATCTCGTGCCTGTGCCACTGCAGGCAGGCTCACAAGTTACTGCCCCTCTATGCAAAAATATCACAAAATTTAAACCCTTCTAACAACAACCGCCACCGCTTTATTATTGTGAAAGTGCTTAGCTCCAGCTGAACCTAAACAATTGCACTAGAAAATGCAAAGCAAGCAGAAAAAATGCACAGCACCTACTCTAGCAAATCCGCATTTAAAAAGGAAAACCAAACAAATCAGTATGAATCAAGAAAGCTTCAGATCTTTGCCCTTCACTGCTCAGACACCGAGTCCCTCCAAATGACTCCAGTGCTATTGAATAAGATAGAGGTTAAGTACACGAATAACAGACAAATCGGTTTGTGAAACGTGGGCTGAAATGTCGATGCAAGAAACTACGCCTAGGAACGGGCTACAGATACATGGGCTGACTCTCCTTTGGGGAAAGCACAAGATCTTAATTATTTTCTTCGCAGCTCCACTTCCTGATTCCAAAGCATCCTTTCAACGTGCCCCTGCACTCGGCACTGGTGGCACTGGCACCTCGAATCCTGTGTTCAGTGTTGGGCCCCTCACTGAAGGCAAGGAGGATGTTGAGGTGCTGGAGCGTGTCCAGAGAAGGGCAACGGAGCTGGTGAGGGGTCTGGAGCACAAGTCTGATGAGGAGCGGCTGAGGGAACTGGGGGTGTTCAGTCTGGAGAAGAGGCGGCTGAGGGGAGCCCTCATCGCTCTCTGCAGCTACCTGAAAGGGGGTTGTGGCGACGAGGGTGTTGGCCTCTTCTCCCAAGTAACGAGCGACAGGACAAGAGGGAATGGCCTCAAGTTGTGCCAGGAGATGTTTAGATTGGATATTAGGAAAAATTTCTGTACAGAGGGAGTGGTCAAGCACTGGCACAGGCTGCCCAGGGAGGTGGTGGAGTCGCCATCTCTGGAAGTGTTCAAAAAACGTGTGGACGTGGCACTTGGGGACATGGTTTAGTGGGCATGGGGGTGTTGGGCTGATGGTTGGACTTGACGATCTTGGAGGTCTTTTCCAACCTCAATGTTTCTGTGAATCACTAAAAATCCTGAAATTTTGTTTTGTCAGCAAGAAAACACTCCCATATCTGTGCCTCATACTCCAAACTGTGCTCCAGTGATGTGCACTATGTAGCAAGCAGGAGTTTTATCACTTAAATAACCCTGTACTTCAAAATGTGCAGACGCCTAATGGTTAGCTTTTATATATTGTCTCTGCCAAAAGCATGGCTGAAGTTTCCACTCATTTCACTGCACTAGAGGGAAAAAAATGCCACACGATAAAGTTTTATCAACTGCATTACCCCAATGATGTATGAAGTACTTACCAGCAACTAAAATTAAAAAAACATAAAAACACAAGAAAAGATGGAGCAGAAAGAGAAGAAACCCACTCACTACTAAAGAGGAGCACATGCATGTGTTGATTAGTGGAAGTGGACCTGTGGAGATGAATTTTACTCCTAACGCTTATTTTAATGGCAATATAATTCTTTCTTGCTAGGGAAGCTGAAGGAACCAGTAATCACCCGTGACTCATATACCTTCCCTTTAATGTTATTGAGGCTCTTAATACTGTCACATCAGAAAAATGAAACACCACAACCGCAAAGCCTGTAAAAGAAACCATTTCCCGTAGACAGCAATATTCCTATCCAAAATGCTGACAAATAACACGCGGTATGTACAGTACGTGTGCTGCTCTGCAGGTCTAGTACGTCACCAGTCCTCCTACTTGTATTTCCTTTCTTACAGTACAGTGTTCTCCACCAGGCACTCCCATTTCAGCCTGATTCTATAGCTTTTGAGCAAACAAACAAACAACAACCCCACAATAAACCCCAATCAAGCACTCTCACAAAATATTTAGCTATTTTCCCAGGTCTTTCAGCCGACCTCCTAGTCCTCAGTAAGGAATATCTTTAAAATGTTCCTCTTCCTAGAGAAGTGTTAAATCATTCACATCACTCCAAGCTCTGCTAGCCAGGATGCGCAGAGTCTGTTTGTGAACTACTTTGCTCCAAACAGAAAGGCAATTTTTATTATTGAAGAGAGAAACAAAACCAAAAGAAATGTAGACTGAAATTCTACATTCTGAAAGCCCAGGAAACTGGACTTCCTCTACACACACTTCCTCAAGTCCCCAAGAATACAACTTCCCAGAGGTCTTGGAGCACTGTTACACATTACAGAGCAAAAGCAAACCCCTTTGCATCTAGATCTAAAAAGAAAAAAAAAAATTAAAACCTACACTACCTTTTAATCCCCTTAATCTGAACTCTTACATTTTACTGCTTACATTTCCTTTTATTTCAAACCATACCTGCAGAGTTCAGCATAGGAGCAAGCAGACCGAAATCTAACACAGTACCTACTCATCTGTTTCAAATTAAATGTCCCTGTGGCTGCATCACTGCCCTGGAGCCTTATCCAGAATGACTGAGCGGGAACTTTGGGTCCGCTCCTCTGTCCTACAGAGGTGCAAGATTGACGCTCGTCTGAAATCACCTGCAGTCAGAAAATTGTAAGTGGGGAGGTTTAAACTGTAAAACACCAAAACATTTAAACTTTACTATCAACAAAAACTGTGCAACTCATTATACTTCAGAATTGTTAATACTCTTTATTTAATTACTACTATGGGAAGCAGAGATCAGAGGACTTGGTGCTTTTTGTAGCTACCTGGCTTGTAGCACGTGGGTCCCTCCCCACCTTCCACAGATTCCTGCAGCAGATGACAAGGACAAGTTAATACTGGTTCTGGCAATGCCAGATGGAGATCGTGTTGCAGAACTGTCCTCCAGCCCTAACCCGCACTCACCTGCAGCACTCCCAGAGGGGCTGCACCCAACCACTGCTGTTTCTCCCGCGCTTCTACGTACTCTTGTATGAATACACTAAAGGGATCACCTTCCCTCGCGAAAACCTAAGGAAAGCTCACATTAAAGGATAAAAGTGGGGCAATGAATTAACAGAAGATTGTCAGATTAATCTTTTATACATGATTTTACTTTCAAATATAACATGCTGCTTAACAGTGTGGGCTTCAATGCAAAAATTATGCGTGGTGGAAAACAACCCAATACAGTATGTATTGTATGGTACAAACCGTTAAATAAATTCTAAGTCAAACATTCATAACTTGCTAGTATTTTTTCTTTCTTCTGTTATACGAATAAAACAAAATGAGTTATTTTCCAAAGCATCAGAGTTCTCCTCAATTAAAACAAAAGCAGTAATGACGTAGTGAGCCTGACCTATTTTTGCAAACTTTCCAAATGTATTTCATATGACTTGCGAAAGAATACATATGGAAGAGAAATTTTCTTTCTGAATACTTCCACACTTATGTTATCCTTGCTTGTTTCTGAGGACTTGTTCCTAAATTGTTAAGATCCTTCAAACAAAAAAATGTCCATGAGCTATCATGGGAATCTATCAAAGTTGTCGATATTACAGAGTCCACATTCGTCACTTTTCTAACAGTTAAAAAATATTTTTTACAACCATAACAATAATCCTTAAGATGCCATTCAAGGAGATCTTAAAAGCATCAAACATCAAAAGTATCAGATGAAGCAAAACCAAACATTTGCCACTGAGTTATCCAACAGAAAACTGCCCAATACCATTATCTTCCCCATAAAATTTCAAAGAACTACTATAACACTTCATACTTTCTGCAGGAAAAATTATCAGAGCTTGTAAGTAGTGCAGCTGCTGGCCAACATTAATATTTATTTTTCTGGTACTTCAGGGAATAAAGAGACCGTTTCCTCAAGTTCTCCAGTACTATTAACAGTACAGTTAACAACTCCAGAAACCATAACCTCCCTATTTTAAAATGCCCACTCATCTCACGCCCCTCGGCACGGCCGGCTCACAGCATGTGGAAGAACCTGAGTACGTGTCATCCAGCCTAATGCTCAGCAGGACTCACCGCTGTCCAAACATCAGGGTCGACTTTGTTTCTGCTTCGTTGAACACAGAAGGAGAACAGCATATCACAATGGTGGTTCTGCAGTTCCCACCAAGGGAATCCTGAAGTATTCGGGTCATTTTGCTGTCGCGGTATGGAACATGGGTTTTCTAATCAAAATAATAAGTAAGAGGCAAGAACAATTTTTTTAAATAATGATATTGTAATGAGAGAGAACATGAATCGACAATGAGAGGTTTAATGGATTTGGATCCTGAAGAGTAATTGTTTTGATTGTGCTAAGATTGGGTAACCGCTCAAGTGAAATCACTGAGAATTAGTTTCTGGTTTGTGGTTGGAAAGCTAATATTTTCTTCTTTCTGAATTGAAATGTTAGCTTTTTTTTTTATGTGTATGGCAAAGAAACAGCTAGATAAAAATCAACACAACACGAAACAGGATTACTTACAGTTCCTTCTGCCAAGGCAGATATCACATTGCCTAAAGCAGACAAAGACTTATTGATATTTTTAGCTTCATCAAGAACAGCTCCCTCGGCTCCAGTTTTGCTGACCTACCGAAGAGAACAGGCAACAGTCAGGCTCAGCTACCAGCGTCTGTACAAATACAGCTACAATGCAGATAGTGCAACAGTTAAAGAAGCTCTGGGAAGAAAACCAAAGCAAGCTTATCCTCAGCGTGAAGAGGGAGAATTTTATATGCCCTTTTTTGTTAGTGGAAGCCTGTAATACTTTCGCCTTTCTTCCAGTGTAAGAGCAAGTTGACCCTTACTTCGTTCAGGGAAAAGCTGCTAAGTCTGGGCTCGCCTGAGGACACTCGGGGACCACTTCCAAGACCAGACTGTCCACACAGATAGGGAACACTGCAGGTATATTCTCAGGGCACACTCGGTGGCACAGCGTACGCCACCAAACATGGTATCTTGGCTTTGTATTTCGCTTGCGTGGACCAAGAACATCAGGACAGAAGAAGCATGATCTCACTCATCCTGAATGCAAGGTTTACTGGTCCACAAACTGGATCCTAAAGTGGCCCAGATGAGAAGCCTGGTGGCCTGGGACCAGCACTCCTTTAGACAGCAACACAGTTTTATAGCCTTTTCTCTCTCTTTTTTTGGAGGGTGGGGCGGGTGGAGAAGGGCATGGAAATGTAAGAGAAAGCCATATATTTTCTCTACATTAAAACTACACTATCTGTACTTTCCTCTAAAAATGCCACATGCATCTAAAAGGAAACATAATTGTATTTTTTAGAGAAGACAATCTGCCAAGGAAACCCTTATAGTATTAGAGCCTGACTAGGCACTCATTTTCTAAGCACCACTAAAGAGTTTTGAGTTTAGCATTTAGTATTATATGGAATAATAGAAATTAACATGATTAATTACTCTGACGGATGGCTTCTGCATTGTACTGCTGGGTTATCAACTAGTGTGTCCCAATGAGCAACCTGAAAGCTGTGCAGCCTATCAAACAAATTCTTTTGTTTTACTTCTCATTTTCAGAAAGAAATAGAAATCTACTACCACAATGAAAGACTTCGCTTCATCATGAGTAATTATTTTGACATGCACAGTATTTACCAAGGATCGAGCTTGAACAAAGAATTCCATAGCCTTGCAAAATGATGAGGTTTGTAATTTATTTCATTTACAGATAAACAATTTCGAACACTCCAGAAGATGTTAGAACGAGAACGGGGAAACAATGACATTTTCCCACTGCAGTACTGTTCTAGACCATTAATCTTTTGGAAAACAGACACAAGTTCTTTTCTGGTTAGTATTTTTCTATATTGGAAAGCAGAAATAGTCACCACAATCAAGTCAGTCATTCAGGGAGCTTAAATAGACTTCAGCTGTACAACTGCATTAACTGCTGTTATTTCATTGATCTAATATGTGAAATAATTACAGAACCTAGAAATAGGACGTGTCTGAATATAAGAAAATTAAAACAGCTGTTTAATTTGACAAATGACATTATTTTCTTCAAATACCCGTAATTAAATGTCAAGCTATATAAAAGCACACTGGTTCAATCCACTTCATCATAAATGAAGATATATTGCAGATTTTGGGGGTTTGCACTTCATACCAATAGTTCTGATCCGCTCCTTTTCTCCATCCCACGGTTAAAAAAAAAAAAAAAAAAACAAAAAACAAACCACAGATTGCCATACTCGTGACAACCTAAGATAAGACTTCTGTAAAACCTAGCTTAAACCTAGCTTAGTTTTGCACTGCCACACATTCACATCATCAGTTTAGTGGTCCCACTATAGGATCATCCAGCAGTTCAGGAAAAAGGAAAGATTACCTTCTCGCTCCCAGCCAAGTCTACCAGGTACAGCTTCCCACTGAGTTTCTTCTCAGTTTCCACATTCTCTTGTTTAATATTAATGAGGAAGATACTGTGGCTCCTAGAGCTGTGTTCATTCATATCTGCAATCAGATTTGAATGGTTTTGTTTCAATGACTTAATAACTTGACAAGAAATTATATTTCATCAGAGCTAGCCTACGGCTAGCAAATTCAAAAGTATGAGTCCATCCACCAGACACCCCAGACCTCTATACTTACAGCAGTGCCTACGCCAAGAGCTGCAAACACCACCCATGGTCTACAGAACAAACTCCTACTTTCTCCTAACATGGCCAAATTAACCCAATTCATGATAAAAGACAACCCTGGGAAAAAAGGGTTTTTTTCAAAAAATTTTTTCTTTCTTTTTTGAAAGTTTTTTTTTTCCCCTGAAGCAATAAGATTTGACCAGAAACAGTAAAAAATAACAAAAAAAAAAAACCCTATAGCATAAGAATAAAAAAATAACATTGCACAGTTACAGTAAGAAATACAGGTTCTGTCCTTTTTTGCTTCTTCATGAGTACAGACAGCCCATACAAAAAACTGCTGTGATATAACAGACACTATTTAGACATCGAACTACAATGAGGATGTATGTTCAGCATCCTGGACAGAGGAATAATTTTGAGCTGAGCAAGAGAATTTAAAGAGAAGTAACAATAATTGCAATAAAAAGA